AAAAAAAAATTCTCAAGGATATGATAGCATTCTGATGTTTGAAATTACGTACTGCTAATGTTGAAAAGGGAATAATTTCCCACATTCGTTACATCGACAAACGTGGTAAACAGGTCTCACCAGCTCCATCAACTTTTCGAATGTGGTGTCGGATATTCGATGTTTGGAAAAGTCAAACAATACAGTCCCATCAGGAGTGTCAATAGTACGACTAAAAAGTTTTTTCCAAGACATATTCTTGAGCTGATTTCGACTTACGTGTATTTATTGAAACGCTCTGGATCATTGAGAAGTTGCTCGTAAATGCTAAGTCGATCTTTTTCATTGACTTCCACAAAACTTTTAAGATCTTGGAACTTCGGATCTCTGCACAGCGACATTGCTGATAACAGTATCAGTATTTACGAACGAACTTCAATAGCAGAATATAGGCGATTGTTCGATATGAAATGTGGTGATGATGGAACAAGAGACATGCCTTTGAACGGTTATTCAATGTACTTAAAGGAACAAACGAGACCGAGGAAAGCAATCGACACCAGAATGACATAGAGATCAGGATGTGGAGTACAAGACCTCACCAAAAAGGATGAGGTGATTGATAAGGTGGTAAGCAGAGAATTATATCTCAATGGATAGAGGAAGCAGAACTTTATGAACCAGGTCATAGGCAAATCAGTTAATTTAGCGTACCGCTGCAGTGGTAGTGAGTCTGCAAGTGGTTCCAGGTCACATTGAAAAACTCGACAATGTCAGCAATAACCAGAGATAATGGTGAAGTGGGCATCTGAAAATTACTGAGAACAGAATGAAGCGAGGGATGCCGAACGGCACACTTCGCACGCATTGATTGTACGTCGGGTGGGCATCCTCCCTCCCCCGCGTAACCCAACCCCGCCCCGTCGCTTTCAGTTGCGCCGTATGAAAGTGTTCGCCGTTTCTGTTTACTTACACAGCAGAGTATAGAGCCTCAATCGACTTATTTTCCAAACTAGTCAATGGTCAGCTTTGTATTTCTAGAATACAAAATAAATTTGGA